TAAGAAGAATGTAGTTTACAAAATCGAATGTTCAATATGTGGAATTGTTTACATTGGGCAGACCGGGCGAACAATTGGATCACGGATCAAAGAACACTTGACAATGGAAAAGCAGACGGTTTATAAACATTTGGAATCCCACAAGAAATCAAAGTTACCTACAATAAAGTGGAAGATTTTACATGCTAATATAGTGAACGACGGGGAGAGGAAATACGTGGAAGCATTTGAAATACAAAAACATTCTGGAGACTTGATGAACGGTTGTATTGGTAGAACAATTAGTGTTTGAACTATAATTTTAATCTATTAACATTGTATAGTACTTTAAACTACGGGACAATAAATCAGTTGCATGTTTGAATTATCTTAATCTATTAACATTATATAGTATTTTAAACTACAGGACAATAAACCATTGCATGTTTTGCATATTTTTATAACATTAGCATACTCATTGTAAATTTAGTATTTTAATTAGTTTTATATAAATAGGAGGAAATATTATTGTAAAAAAAAACATTCCACTGAAGAAGCCGTAAAAGGCGAAATGTTTGGAAAATATACTTTGTGTATTTTTATGTCTGAAGAAATCCCAAAGCCAAGTTCATATATATATATATATATATATATATACACACTTTTATACCTAGCCAGGTACGGTTGCGGAAAATGCAACACCGGAATCGCAGGGCCGTGCAGGTTCGTTTCCTGCCAGAGGACCTAGTGCATTATCCGCAACCGTTCCTGGTCAGGTATTAAAAAGTGTATATATATCGTCACATGGATTATCCGTCTACTAAATTAGTGGCTTGGGTGACTGGGATTCAGACAAAAATTTGGCTGGCAAAATGAGAATAACTGAAAATTCCTTTCACAACCTTCGATAACACATTATGTGTATTAGAACAAAGTTTGCACGGCAGATAATTTTGGGTATGCATGACTAATTCGCTATACAATTATTATACCTTTTCTGGTGTTCCATTTTTCACCGTACTTTCTGGTGTATGGAAATTTACAAACGATAAACCATAACATGATGTCTATATTAAATACAATTTTTAGCCATTATAATCGAAAATTCAAACTCAATATGTGTCCTTCATAAAAATTATTGATATCTTTAATTCTTTATACCTTAGTGTATGGCTGTGTACAACTCAATTTGACCCTGTCCCACTTCTGGTCGGCGATCACTTTTGATAACTTTTCTAAACCTGTATAATTCAAAAATTGATTTAACTTTGCAATGGCATGACTTAGGGAAAACACATAACAAAAAAGCTCTGAGGTAGGCTGCTGGCTAAATAGTATGCTTGGAGAGTGTTACAAGCAGTGCATGTTAGTGCATGAGCTTTTCATCTCGGCGACAGGATCAGGGATCTGTTTCTAATTCCTAGAATATGCAGTTTTTTGATAAAATTCCTTATTCCCCCTCAGTCACGTGAAAAGAGTGTATCCATTTTGATTCTGGGCATAAAAAGGACGTCCTTTTCTAGACATCGAGGACGAACATGAATTGATAGAACTATGCCCAGTAAGACTAACTAAGAAAGAAAGGAGGAAAGGAAAAGGAGGAAAGGAAAAGGAGGAAGTAATAAAGAATGACTGGCGATATTAGAAACTAAGTTCTAAAAATTCATTAACAATTTACGAGGTAAACACAAAGAAAAATCATAAGCGTGTCGTATCTTTATATGTGATAGAGATTTCCCTTGATTTACATAAACTTTAACTTTGATTTTCTCGACTTACACAACGTATTTTCAGAAAATTACTTCGCCAATGTACTTACTAGATCGATCGGTTTTGAAGCAATTTAAAACATTCGCAGTGCGTGTGTTATCAGATCTATAAAGATACTCGGCTTCGCCTCGTATCTTTATATCTGATAAAACACTGCTGCTCATGTTTTAAATAGTACATGAAAGTAAACCTCTGCTCCTTTGTCAGGTAGACTCCAAGTTTGAACGGTCTGTGCCAGTGTAGGAAGAGACGATATAACTGCGAATTACGAGGGATACAACTATACATGAAAAATAAAAGCAGAACTTCGACGTTATACGAGCGATCTCATCATAATTGAAAATACTGATAGACTGCGTTAGGTTGATCTGTGCTGTTAGGTATAGCCGTTGTTTAGTCTTTAAAGATTAAACAACTATACCTAACAGCACAGATCAACCTAACGCAGTCTATCAGTATTTTAATTATATAGATGAGATCGCTCGTAACGTCGAAGTTCTGCTTTTATTAATTGTTAGCGCTAAACAGGTAAATAACAGTGTGGAACTGTCAAAAGTTCACAGATTTGTTTATTCATTGCGGTTCATCCTCAGAATCTTCAAGATGGTTTGACTATTATGCAAAAGTTTTTTTATTTCTCTATTCCCTTACCAAACATTCTAACTCTGTTGTTGTTTGTTCCAGATTTACTTTCAGCAGGACTCATGAACGATGATGCAACAAGCAGGACCTGAACATTTGATGGATCAGAAAATCAATAATTATAAACTCACGAGTAATGATCCAGGTGGGAATTGTAATATCCTAATTATGAGATTTAGAGCCCAAAAGGTACTTTAGATTATAATAATACTATATATTATAGCACAAAAGTTGATATCATATGTTTTTTCCTAGTCCTTCAGGCTTGCTATGCCTTAGGGAGTGGTCATTATTTATGGGAAGGGGGGGTTGGGAAATGGGAGGGGTTGGGAAATGGGAGGGGGGGGCAAACGAAGTTTTACCCTTATTAATAGGAGGGTCAAAAAAGTTTTAACACAGAGAAAGGGGGGGTCATAAAAGTTTTTGAACTTAAATACCATGTCTAGAGTTTTGATTTCTATAATCACAAATAGCAAAAAAGAAGACTCTGAAAATGCTATTTCCAACGATCTAGAGACTCAAAATTTTCAAAATTTCCCTGCTCGGCGCCAACCATGGTAGCGCCTCGCGATCGTGGGAGTCAGGCCCACTAAGTTTAACAAGCTTTCTACCCCCTGAGTGACCCAGTTGTAGTATTTACATAAACATACCATGTAAGTACACTTAACTGATCAGATTCGGTCTATCAACGCACAATGTAACGCTGTATATCCAAAAATCTGTTTCAGAAAATGCTCACATTTCAGTTCTAGGGGTGGAAAAATACAAAAACGGACCCCAGACCCCCCTACTAGTACATACGATAACACACCAAACTTTTTGTCACCAACAACCATCTGTTATCTCTCAACACTCAATATATTATGGTCCCTTTTTGGAGATGCCCACCCCCCAGACAAGTTCTTAAAAAAACCCTGTGTTCAAATCATTTCGCTGTATGAAGACGGGTCATGGGTTAGGGTTATGGTAGGACAAATGTTGCATTGCAAAGTAGTAACACATAATATATATTTTTTAATCATATATGGTTGAATCATATTCACCAGGGTAAAACATCATGAGCTAGATTAAACAGATGTCCTAATATCTAACTTTACCTGCAACGCACACCTGTTTCGTTGCTGTTAATTTTTCAATCGACACGGGGGGGGTCAGAAAAGTTTCTACTTTTATGAGGGGGGAGGCACAAAAAGTTTACCTTCAGTCTGGAGCGGGGGGGGGGGTCAAAAAAGTTTTCAATCCTTATTTTCCCCATTTCCCAACCCCCCCCCCCCTCCCCATAAATAATGACCACTCCCTTAATCGGATCCAATACAAATACCAATAATATATGCATGATCTAGATACCTGATATTCACTTGATGAAGATCTGCCAACTAAAACTTCTACAAAAGCGGAACCGTTATTCCCTAAATTATGACAGACAAAAGTTCATAAAAACATAGCAAACCTGTAAACAACATAAGAGCAGTACTCAATTGTCGAAAATATCAAAAATAAGATATTGATTGAACAATACTTTTTCATTTTAAAAGTATATTAATAACAAACAAAATTATTATTATACAGTAAGTTCATTATTTGTTCACATTATTTTTCTGTCTTTGTGCACGGGCGAGCTTATGGGCTGTCCAAGTTTGTATATATATATACGTGACGTCTCTATCTATGAGCGGCCGTGTATGCCAAAATAACAACTTGCGAATGAATCAATTCATATGCAAACTAGTTATGAACACCAGTTATTTGATAATTTGATTTTATATTTTATTAATTAAGAAGAACACGGCTTGCAGATTTATGCCTGAATCAAACGAGGATGAGAGTGCACGAGAGTTGGCAGTCACGCGACTAGCCTGCGTGCGTGCAGCCTCAAAAATTCGGGCTGATAGGCTGCACGCAGACTATCACGTGGTTATAACCGTTCTTAATCCTTTTCCAACACTATCATGTATTCTATTAAAGTTAAAACATAGTTGGAACACTCATCAAACCTTATTTTGTTAATCTAGAGCTTGAAATGTCCCCTGCGTAATCAACTCTCTAGCCTGGTTTCCATATGGTCGTAAAAATAAAGTCACGACCTTTCTCAACGGCCAGTTTATGATAGTTTATACACCTGTAAACCACATATAAATCATAAGTATTCTCTAGTTATAATCACTCCGCGTATTTTCAGTTCTAAAATGTTATATTTCGGCTGAGGCGTAAAAAAATACCTGTGGTTCCGGTTCCCGACCGACCCTATTTTTTTCTGCCGACCCTATTATTTTTTCAACGTGATTGACCGTGCGACCCTATTTTCTCCAGGTGGTTGCGGGCTGCTCATACAGCGTGCCAAAATGGCGTCTGTTGTCACACTAATTATTGAACCAAATTGCCTAAATTCGTCCATTGGAAATACGCATCTCTAGTTAATATTGATGTTGGGACTCTACTGAAAATCGCCCAGCAAAAAACCGACAAAACCATGAAAAAATATTAAAAAAAAAAATTTCCGACCTACCGACCCTAATTTTTTCACGATATGAAACCGGAACCACTGGTATTTTTTTTTACGCCTGATGAGAAAGATCGTGACTCAATCTTTACGACCGTTACGAACATATGGAAACCAGGCTTCTCGCTTTACCCCGCGGGGCTTTACAAACGAAAACTGAATTGCGTTGCTCGTCTTCAACTCTGCCTTTCATCAAAATGGTCCATCGATGGGTTAAGGGAACAGACGGCGATGCTGTTCGGGTGGTTCTTTTCAATTTCCGAAAGGCTTTCGACCTGATCTAAACTCGAACGGGTCTGACGCCCGTATATTCTAAAAACTCACTCACACTCACACTCAATGAGTGGAAGTTCAATCTGAGCTTCTCTCGAGTATCATTGCTGTTTTTGAATAGCTGGAGGGCTTGTGTCATACCTTACTATGTGACTACTCACCCTCCAGCTATTCAAAAACAGCATTGACACTCAAGAGAAGCTCAAATTGAACTTCCACTCATTGAGTGTGAGTGAGCTTTTAGAATACGGGCGTTAGTCAGCATAGGTAGTGACAATAGACAGATTTAGATCCTGATTTAGATCGAGGACGTGGACGTCAAAGACGACGTGAAAATGGCGTCACAATGGCGTGGCAATGTGGCATATCCATACATGGGCACAACACGTCATTTTCACGTCGTCTTTGACGTCCGCGTCCTCGATCTAAATCTGTCTAATAACACCAGACAACTGAGGATTGAGAAGGATTCAACGACCTGAAAATATACAAGTAAAACTTCGACGTTTCAAGCGAAGGCCCTTCGTGGGAACTTAGTATAGCACGTGACATAATCGATCATCCGAGTTCTGGCGAAAAAAAGTATTGTAAAGGAGAGTTAAAACTTTGTAACTTTAGTAGATGTATTTTCATTACCTCATTATTTGAATTGGATTCAAAGGTGATTAATTACTCATGAATTTTCCAAGGGTGTTAAATGTCCACACGTATGTGGAGCAACCCTGGAAGCACCACTTCACACTACGTATCCTGCCACTTACCAATATCTACTGAATTTATCTTAGATGCCTTTTCTAACTAAAAAGAGTCGAGAAAAGTCTCAAAATTAATTAAACGCGAAATAATTAAACCCAAGAAAATTATTTTTAACAAAAAAAAAAAAAAAAAAAAAA